CTCTCTCTCTCCATATCCACAAAACAGAAGGCAACAGATTGATATTTCTCTCAAATCGATTTTTACAAAAGTAAGGGAGGTCCTCAAACTTTTTAAACAGGGGGCCAGTTCACTGTCCCTCAGACATTCCACATATGCGCACTGTGGGCCCAGGACGAGTTGGCTGCTAAGCAGGACAGGCAGCAGTGGCAAAAATACCCAGCATGTGGCCCATGGGCCATAGTTTGAGGACCCCTGATAGATGAACCTTGAGGACATTATGCTAAGTGAAACAAGCCAGTCACAAAAGGACAAATATTGTATAATTCCACTTACATAGGTACCTAAAAGTCAAATTCATAGAGATAGAAATTAGAAGGGTGCTTGCAGTGGCTGGGGAAGGGAAAAAATGGACAGTTGTTTACTAGGTATTGTTAAGTTTTGAAGATGAAGAGAGTTCTGAAGATGGATTGTGGTGATGGTTGCACAACAAAACAAAATGGGGCATATTTAATAATAAATTATAAGGGGGGGAAACAGTGGTGCTTTTCCATCAAGAGCCTTGGAATTAGTCTACAGGCTTGCCATCTGTGTGTCACTGGATACATCTCTCTCTGCACAAATGGTTTTTCCCATGTCGATGGAAGGAACAATCGATGGAATATGGAAAATGGCTTTGGGAGCCATTTCTGGAGTACAACGTCTGGTGGTAGAGAACTCCCTGACCCCATGGAGATGAACTCCCTAAGTAGGCACAGCTGAAGAGAGAGAAGCCTGTGAGGGGTAAAAAGTATGGACTAGAACATAATAGCAGAGGCATCTGGACCAGCTCCCAGTGCCGAATCAAACCACCTTGCCTCAGTAAGAAGCTGTCTGCAATCTAGTCTTGGTTCATTGTTATTAAAAGGTGGAGCTAAGCACTCCCTATGCATGCACACCTCTCTGCCCTAGAAGCTGTGAAGTGATTCCCATACTTGGATGAGTATCAGATTGGCCAACTCTATGGGTGGTACCTGAGAAGCCGACTATTCTGATGCAGCCAGCCAGGCAGATTATTCAAAGCCAGAGTTTAAATTAAAGTCTCCTATGATCTGTCCCAACCCTTCACCACAGCTCCCACTCTGCCCTCATCTCCTGCCACTGCCACTTTCCGCTTCCCTTACCTCCCTCAGGTCTCTTCACAAATCTCATCTTGTTGGTGAATCTTTCCCATTCCACCCTTTTAATAAAGCAAACCTTCTACCTTTGCTCTCCTATCCCCTCTGCCCTGTTTAATTTTCTCCACACACTTACTTCCATCTGACAGAATAGTGGTGTGCTAGAACTGGCTCATTAGGGCTCGCAAAAGCCTATTACATTTTCAGGAACTCTGCTGGCTGGTTGTTAAACATAGCCATTATTAAAAATTAAATTATACAAGCTTAATTAATTATATTAAAAGCAAAGATGAAAATGCTTAAACTCATCACTTTCTAGTTTTTTACTGCCTTTTACTATTATCTGTGTTCTTGAGAGTCTTTACATCTGTAGAAATATGTAACATATAATGGTATTGTATTTTTCATTTCTGTTCAACTCTGCTTTCAGTGACATCACATTGGTAGCTTAAAATCAGCGGTGGAAGGCATATTTACACCACAGACATAGGTAACATGATAAATCAGGTTTGATTGTTTTGTTGATGTCTAGACCAGAAGTTTGCATGGGCCAAATCCAGCTCATCAACTACTTTTGTAAGTAAAGTTTTATTGTAACACAGCTATGCCCACTCATTTACATATTATCTATGGCTGCTTTCACATTACAATAGCAGGCTGAGCGGTTGCAACTAAATGGACTTTACAGAAGAAATTTCCCGACCCCTGGTCTAGCCTTAAGAAAGTAATGCAAATGTTGATAATGCAGTTTCAATATAAACATGTCCTGTCTATAGCTGTTACATGGAAATAGACACACGCACACACCCCAAAATGAGGAAATATACCTCCAGTATATGAAAACTATAATTCAATACAGCAAATAAGTTGATCATGTCACTGATGATTGGGTAGAATTCCAACATCATTGTTCTTTCATTTTTTTTCACTTTTCATACTCCTAGTGTAAATGAAAATATCAACATTCGTGCTGGAACTACACTTGTTCATCCACTACAACCATAGGTTGGTTATGGATACAAGAGTTAAGCATAAGTCAAGAAAAGTGTACTGTAAAAATCAACTGGCTATATGGAATTTACAATAAAAAGTATTGTCAAATTTCATTATTGTAGATGTCTATCAGTAAAATTTGTAACACACACCAACACACACTCACTTTGTTTTAGAGAGCCAATGATTGGACATTTACAGATACACACACTGTTTTGTTTGCCCTCTACTGAAGTGTCAGTTCCTTAAGAGTAGGAATTTTCTTTTATTCCAGTACTTAGAACACCTGACATGTAGCCAGGGTACAGTTAACACATGTGACATGAATGAATAGAGGAGCATAGTTGGGAACCCCTGATTTCATGGATAGACTGTCAGACCTTAGGTTTCCAGCTCCACCTTTATCCAACTGTATGACCTTGAGTAAATTATTTAGCCTCTTTGAACCTTGGCTTTTTTTATTTAAAAAGAGGGGATATTTCTCTTACCTCACAGGAAGGTGGTAACAATATACACCTCTGCCTGTCACCTACCAGGTTTCTCTGCAGGTGAGCATCTCTTCCTCACCCTCACCCCTGCCACACACACTCCTTGGAGACCCAGCCCTGTTGTCACACATTTCAGTGATGTCACAGCTCCCCTCCCTGGGAGATGCAGCACGACCATCCTAATGCCCAGCCTGGGTACTGGCTGAACTGAGAGGGGCAGGGCTCAGGCAGTACCTGGTACTTGCTCCATCTGTCGTCTTTGAGGCATCACAGCCCCAGTATGAGTCCATCAGCAAAGAAGAGGCCCCAGAATAGTGTGGTTTTCAAGGTTGGACTAGGGACTGGATCTAGAAGGGGCCTTACAAAGAGTCCAACCATACCAGGGCAGGTGGAGGGAAAGGGAGCGCTGAGGGGTGAAGGGAGGTCAGGAGTTAGAATGGTCTCCCTTGTTCTGCCCCCAAACAGAGGTGACACTTTCAGTCTGGGGTTAGTCAAATCATGCTGAGCCAAATGGAGAGGTATAATGGAGGCATTTAGGGGTGGGGTTTTTTCCGTGTTAGCGTTCCCTCTCTCTCTCTCTCTCTCTCTCTCTCTCTCTCTCTCTCTCAGATGCAAGATGAGGAACCACAGGACAAGATACAGCAGCCTATCAGCAAATTAACTGAGCGGAACAGACTTAGAATGGTAAGAGGCCCATTTTGGTCCCAGCAGAGGAGAGCCTGGGCACCCATGCAGTACTGCTTCTCCAGAGTCTCGAGGCTGAGTTGAGCCAAAGTCTGGATGGGGAGTGAAACATCTGTTTTTCTGGTTTCTCAACTCTGGCAGGTGTTAAAAAACTTGTCACTCTTGAGGCTACTCAAGAATTCAAACCCTCGGATCCAAGAACTATATAGCCTGGCCAGAAGGTGTTGGAATTCACTGCTCAACGTTCCGAAGGTCCTCCAGATCTCCTCCAGGTGAGCTCAGTCCACCCACAGCCCCACATGGACCCAACAGCTATCTCTGCTAGGAACAGACACTGTGCTAAGGAATTTAGAAAACCCAATTTTCACAAAGGCTCTGGGAGAAAGGTATTTATGACCTCTATTTTACTAATAAAAAGCTGAGGCTCAGGAGATGAAGCGACTTGTCCCAGTTATCCGACCTAGTGGCAGAGCTAGAATTTGAAGCCATTCTTGTCTATCATCAGAGCTGTGATCATAACCATGGTCATAATCATGCAATTATGGGACTAACTACCACCTGGGGTACTGAGCACGATGGGTACCTCTCCTGCTCCCCCTCTCAGGTCAACACAGCCCCGACATTCACCTGTAGACTAGACATCCTGCTGGGGCTGTTTCCTCATCAGTTGCATCAGAATATTAAGAAATCTTCCATTTTTTAGTCACCTGGTAAGTGCCAGGTACTATGCTAAGTACTTTACAAGCATTTTCCCATTTAGTTTATTATTCACAACAATTCTATGGGTAGACAGTTATCCCACTGTTACAGATGAGGAAATTAAGGTTCTGAGAGGTTACATTTCTTGCCTCATCACATAGATGGTAAGAGGCAGAAGCAAATTTGATCCCAGCTTGTGTTCCAAAAGCCTGTGCTCTCCAAGCCACTCTGCTGCTTCACTGTGCAGGCCTCACACATGGGCACTCAACCAACAATGGCCATTATCATCATCAGTATTGTCATTACCTTGAGCCCAGGGCCTCGCCCCTCTTCACACACTCAGGGCGGTGCTGCCGCTTTGCAGGGCACCCAATCTATGACAGACACATCCCTGCCAGCATTTAATACCTCTGGATAACTCCACCTCTCTCTGGGCTTCTCTCTCTAAGTTGGCTTCCTAGATGCAGGTAATCAGGAAACACTGAGCCAGAGGGTCAGGGTCATCTAGTCCCATTGTTTTCCAGCCCTTTTAAAGCAGCAGAACCTCTCTCCAAAACCTGTCCCCAAGCCCCGATTGTGTTGTTGTGAGGGAAGGTCTCCTGCCTTTACCCGGCCATTAGGGGAAACAGGAGGAATTCCTCAGAACCCTCGGGTTTCTTGGAACACAATCTGAAAAACAAAACAAAACATTGGACTAGTTCACCCCATCAAGTGAAATCCAGACAGGCAGAACCCTAACCTAGTGGCCGATGCAGACCATCAATATTCCCAGGTGTCCAACTTATTAGTCATTGCCTTTTGCCTTCCCAACCTCTCACATCCCTACTGCTGATAGGTACCACATCCCCTCCCCGAGGTGCAAGGCCTCCGGGTGGTAGAGAAGTTCCTTTCCAGGCCCTCCCCAGCTTTCTTCACAGGCTCCCCTGAGCTGGCTGCACAGCAGCTGCCTTGGGGGCAGGCAAGAGAACGAGGCCTTAGTCCTGCTCTACTGACTGCTGTTCCTCTCCTTGCCAGGAACAACACTGTCTGCACTGAAATGGGCCAGAATAATGGACTCCAAGAAGCTAAGTGCTCCAAGAAGAAACTGGAGTCCAAGAACTTAGGGAAGCCTAAGAAGTTGAAGTCCAAGGTGAGGGTGCCAGAGAAGAAAAAGGTCCAGCAGTCACGTGCAGCAGTGCCAGATGGAGAACAAGTGGAGCCTGAGGTCCCAAAGACATCGATCACTTGCCCTGGAGCCTGGGGGAGGCAACTACCCACTGGAGACCCTGGAGTCATCTTCCTGAAGCCCCACCAAGGGGATACGGAGCAGCTGCAAGTAGCTGACCAGTGGAACTGGTTTGAGGGGCTGCCCAGGCGAATCCACCTCCCAGGACCCCGGGTGATGTGCAGGCCATCCACCATGCGCTTGGTCAAGCGCTGCTGCACCCGCTTCTGCTCTGCATCACTTGGGCTGCTGAAATCCCATCCATACAGGGTGTGATGACGTCACTGCCAGGCCAGGGTGAGATGTAGGCCTCAAGCCAGGCCCAGAGCTGGGCCCCTAAATACAGTCTTGGGAGCTGTTGCTGGCAGTGCTGGAGGGCCCCACCTTTATGACTAGAAAGGGAAGCTCAGAGAGGAGCAAACCATTGATCAAGACCACACACCAGCCTAGTGGCTAGGCTGGAGCCTCTCAGGATCCAACTAGGGCTCTAGGGAAGGAGAGGCCTCAAGAGGGGCCAAACTGCTATGACTCGGAATCTCACAGAAGTCTGAGTAAGCAGTTTAGGAATTCCTAAATGTGGGGGAAGGTGATGTGGTCAAGTAGGGCTCTGCCACACTCAGACCAAATGAACTCTCCATTTGTTTTATTTATTCATGTTTCATAAAAGATGTACTCTGAAAAGTTCCTTAGCACGAAAAAGAATACTCCAGCCCCTCCAAGAGAGAATCAGGTCCCAAGAAAGGAAGGGGGTGATGGGCTTGGGAGTCCAGTGGAAAGGGAAGCTTCCCCTTCACAAAACTCACATCTCCAACCTGCCAGACATTTCAGTGTCCAGTCCCTAAGTCAGCGGTTCTCAACCTGGGGGTCGAATGACCCTTTCACAAGGGTCGCCTAAGACCATCGGAAAACACAAAATTACATATTGTTTGTGTGATTAATCACTATGCTTTAATTATGTTCAATTTGTAACAATGAAATTGGGGGTCACCACAACATGAGGAACTGTATTAAAGGGTCGCAGCATTAGGAAGGTTGAGAACCACTGCGCCTAAGCCCTCTTCTTGGACAGCAGCGCCTCCTGGAGGCCTTCTTCGCTCCTAACACCGACATCTCGCTCACAGGTAGCGTAGACCTCGGATGGGAGCCAGATTGTGAGCAGAGGATGGAAATCGTACAATCATCTGAATGGGAGGGTTGGATGGGAAAATTTGAGAGTATACAAATAAAATTTCCCATATGGCACTGAAGAATACTTCACTGGCTCTGCCTATTTCCTGGGGCTGGAAAGGCTGGAGGAAAGAGGCCCTCCGCAGAGGTAGGGGAAGAGTGTGTATCACTCTCAGGCTTCTTCCAGCCCCTTCCCAGGCCCCTAAGGTCAGTCTAGACTACAGCCAGGAACAAAGAAGCCAGAGAGCTGCACCCCTCCCCACCTCACCGAACCGTGTGACAGTACTGTATGAAGTCACAGAAAGGGAAAATTTCCTGAGTGCTTTCGGGTGTTCCCTGGGGGCCAGATGTCTCACAATGGCCCTGCAAACCCAGGAGAGAAGGAAACCACGGTACTGAGAAGGCAAATACTTGCTCAGGCTCACACCGCTAGGAGAGGTGGAGCAAGAATTCTGATCTCAGTCTCCTAGCTGCTCCCCATTCCCTTTTCAGAAGAAAGGAAACAGCTATCACGCACATGCTTGCGCCCTGATTATCACAGAGCTGGTGTCAATAAATGGGTGTTGCTGGGCCGCACCTGAGTCACAGATCATAGAAAGCACTGAGTCAGGCGGGAACCTGGCACTGTGTCCCTACTGCTCCCATATGACCTGGCAAATACATCATCCAACCCAAGCCCTGGTCCATCCATCCAGTGGGAGTCACCCTCTGTCAGTAGAAGCTATAGGGCCCTAACCATGCAGATGGGAAGAGGAAAGCCCAGGCTTTCTCTAAGACTACTATCCTCCCTATTCCTTCCCCTAGAGCAGCGGTTCTCAACCTGTGGGTCGCGACCCCTTTGGCGGTCGAACGACCCTTTCACAGGGGTTGTCTAAGACCATCCTGCATATCAGATATTTACATTACGATTCATAACAGTAGCAACATAACAGTTATGAAGTAGCAACGAAAATAATTTTATGGTTGGGTCACAACATGAGAAACTGTATTTAAAGGGCCAGAAGGTTGAGAACCACTGCCCTAGAGGCAGGATGTGCTGAACAGATGCCTCAAGGAAAGCAGCAGAGTCATCCCTGACCCCACTCCCCTCCCCACCCCACCCTCAGGAGCCAGGACAGTTATGGAGAGGGCTCCCCAGATTGGGAGAGAGGGAAAAGGATGAGGGGCTACCCTTGAACCCTCCCACTCGTAATCCTTCATCCCACTGGTGTTCAGCACAACTGAGAACCAGCGGGAAATGGAACGAATTTCCCTGGGGGCAGTGGGACAGCCTGGGCACCCTGCACTGGCTGCTCTGCTCTGCAGGGCTCTGCCTGGGTAAGGCAGCAGGCTGTCTTCCTGCCACAGCGCTCCCCTATCTACCATGCATCCCCCACTCCCCAACTCCCTGCCTAGCCCCCACAACTTCTGTGCAAGCACGCCCCAGTAACCTCAATTGGAGCTGTCTTCCTACTCAGCTTGCAATCCAGCCTAATTCCTGAGTCTCCATTTTGGTTCCCTTGCTGGACATCATCAATCTTCGAAAATAACTTCTACTCCATCTTTCCTCGCAAACACTTTCCATTCTTCATGCCACCTTCTGTGAACTTCTGTCTTGCATTCTCAGCAGGCCATTGGTCAGGACAGTGCGCTCCCAACCAAAAACAGGGGGAGGTCAAGGACAGGACCTGCACTATTCTTTGTGGGAGCCTAACCAGGGAACCCCAACTGGGGGCCCTAAGATTGGCAGCTTTGGCTTTGCCCCATGGAAGCCAGAGCTGCCCACAGGGAATGCTATGAAGTGGACAGGAGCCTGTGTGCCCAGGCTGGGCTCTAATGTGCCCAGGGCACCTGGGGGAGCAAGGATGCAGGCCTCCAGTATGACTCCTAGCAGGTGCCTCTTCCAGCCTTATCCCCACCTGCACTGGCACTTGGTCCTCAGGCAACCTGCCTGCCACAATCCCACAATTGGGGTCTCCCTACTACACCATCCCTTGTTTAACCACTTCAATCTGAGGCTTCTCTTCTGGGCTCAGATCCTGATTTGGGATCAGAAGCCACTCCAGAAATGGCTTCCTAACAGTTAATAGACAAGAAGGGGGATTAAAGTGTTTAGGTGACTTAACAAGTCACATGATCTCTCTGAGGCTTTTTCATCTGTCTATTAAACGGGAATACTAATATGCATTCCAGAGGGCTTTGAGCAAATCAGGCTTGATGTAGGCAAGGCCAGCTTGTGGGGTACTGAAGACATGTTTGGCCTTTTTCCATGCCTTCTTCCTGGTTTTGCACCATAATAAAGCCCCAAGGCCAGTACTGGCCCTGTTTCTCATTTAATGAGCAGCTACCTCACTGCTCACTAAAGGAAACAAGCGGCTTATTAAAAAGCCAATCCTACATTCACATTCACAACCTTTTGCTAAGGTGGCATCTGGATTCCCGATACTTCCCTCTTCCTAGCTGAGTCATGTACCACTCAAACATAACTGGAACATGAAAATATGAAGCTATGGAAGCAGACAGGCCTAGCTTTTACTCTCAATGTACTCCTTATCTTCAATTTGTCTGCAAAATGAGGAAAATAATGGTGCCTATCTCTTTCATTAAGTGTGAATACATGTGTCACTTTGCAGTGCATGGCACAGAGGAGCTCAAAATTTGCTGGCTCAGAAGAAAGGTGTGTTCTCTATACAATTGGGGGCAGGGAAGGGCAAAACTATAACAGACTTGTGGACCACTTCCTGTAAGTGCCAGGCCCAGTGCTGAGTGTTTTACACATGAGACTCAGTGAATCCTCACAACCACCCGGGGAAGTACTATTATTATCCTCGGCTGACAAATGAAGAAACCAAGGTAGGGAATTGAATTACAAGCAAATCGAACGTTAAAACAACACGTGTAACATAAATACAATGAAAACACGTTCAAAGAGTTGTTACATATCCAGTTCAGTTTTTACGTTTTATGTTCCCAACAATCTGTTGGCGTTTTCTTACGTTTCTCTTTAGAAAACGTAAGAATAAAAGTAGGGAAAGGTTAAGTAGCTTAGCCACGGTCTCACAGCTAGTAATGGGGCTCCAGGACTTAACTCTGCACTCCATTACGGCTCTCTAAAGTCTTCAATACTAGACCCCTAGCCCAGGTAGGGGCAGGGCAGGGACTGAAACTCTCCTCTCCGTCTACCCCCTCATCTCAATGCTGTTTGCACCACCCTTCACTAATTTCCTACAGAAAACCTCAAGCACCACAGTGGCTTTTAAGACCCTCTCCACAGAGAGCCGCTCTTGTGCCTTGAATCTGCCCCTCCCCCCAGCTCCTGAGGCTCTGTGGTCCTTGGGCAGGAGTTCCTTGCCTGCACACTGACTGCCTTCTGTGACTGCCAGAGGGAAGCTGCCTGATCTGGGAGTCACTGAAGGACAGTCCAAAGTCTAAGAAAATGCTTCCAGGGGCGCCTATTGGAGCTGTGCACCCCAGAAGTCTCATGGGGCCCTGGGGCTTCCCACCCACCCCTGCTGCCCACTGACTGCCATCTGGCCCCATTTGGCTCTGATCTGGACAGGGCTGCCCAGAACTAGAAGTTAGAGGCACCCTCGGAGGCACCATCTCTCTCCTTTCCCATCCTTCTCATGGGTTATAAACTATTCTGAGCACCTGCTATGCACTAGTCTCCACTTCTCTCGAAATGGCCCGCGTTTAGGTAGTGAGTAGGATAAGAGGAGTTCCAGACTTCAGACCCTTAGAAAGTCAAGAGATACACCAACTCACTGGTGGGGTGGATACAACTTTCCTTTATCCTTGGAAAGAAAAACATTTCCTACATTCCTGTTTACTTGGAAATCTGTGACTGTATTTAAAGTATATAAGTTTCTCTTTCTTTTTTTAAAAAAATGTATATCCGTTTTTCTTAGAAAGCTAGTATTGTTTACAAAGCACTATACATTCTTAGTATTTAAAACAGTACAATAGGCCCTGGCTGGTGTAGCTCAGTGGTTGAGTGTCGAACTATGAACCAGGAGGTCATGGTTTGATTCGGGGTCAGAACACATGCCTGAGTTTTAGGCTCGATCCCCAGTGTGGGCCGTGCAGGAGACAGCCTATCAATTTCTCTCTCTCTCCTTCTCCATTCCTCTCTGAAATCAATAAAAATATATTTAAAAACAAAACAGAAAACAGGAAAGTAGGGTGTGGAGGTATGATTATAAGGTGATAGATTATTTAACCAATAAGAATTTATACAACCGCCGAAACCGGTTTGGCTCAGTGGCTAGAGCGTCGGCCTGCGGCCTGAAAGGTCCCAGGTTCGATTCCGGTCAAGGGCATGTACCTTGGTTGCGGGCACATCCCCAGTGGGAGATGTGCAGGAGGCAGCTGATCAATGTTTCTCTCTCATCGATGTTTCTAACTCTTTGTCTCTCTCCCTTCCTCTCTGTAAAAAATCAATAAAATATATTTAAAAAAAAAAAAAAGAATTTATACAACCTTTAACTATTAGTCTTCAGAATGAGTTTATTTAATGTCACTACTACTGGAGCCCAAATCCTGGCTCTGCCAGCTCCTAACCTGTAACCTTTGGCAAATTCCTTATAGTTTCCTTATCTGTAAAATACAGAAGATACTTTCTATTTCAGGAAGTTGTTGTGAAGACTAAATGAGCAAGATGTAAACACTTAGCTCACTGTTGTACATCTATTAAACACTCAATAGACGCTTTTTATTACTAAAATGACATCACTGCCATTGCCCAATTCTCTCTGGAACTTGCGTCTAGATCAGGGGTGGGCAAACTTTTTGACTCGAGGGCCACAATGGGTTCTTAAACTGGACCGGAGGGCCGGAACAAAAGCATGGATGGAGTGTTTGTCTGAACTAATATAAATTCAAAGTAAACATCATTACATAAAAGGGTATGGTCTTTTTTTTTTTAGTTTTATTCATTTCAAAGGGGCCGGATCCGGCCCGCGGGCCGTAGTTTGCCCACGGCTGGTCTAGATACTGCTTTTCTTGTTACTTTACAAATAAAAAATAAATCTCATTGAGGCCACATCTCTTATCCAAAAATCAAATTAACACTCAAGGGGCAGAGATTTCTCATCACAGGAAATATGCAGAACGGCACAAGCTCTCAAAAGGAAACCCCCCAGAAGTGTGCCATCACAGATGAAGCGACCACTACAGGTGACCAAAGGAGATGGCAGCCACATGAATGTGCGGATGCCTTCCTTAAAATAAAGTTAGTCACTTGCCTTTAGAGTTTGTGGTGTCTGGAAGGAAACCCACCAACCTAGGGAAGTCATCTCAGCTGGCCTTGCCTCCTGGACCTTGTAGCCAGGATTAGAATACTCTTAACAAGTTGCTTCCTTCCAGCTTAACTAGAGCGCCCTGAGTTAGGGAGGTGCTCACCCTTGCACTTTCCCAGCCTCTGCCCAGGCACATTTACTCGTAAACCTTCATCTTGTCTGCCTCAACGCCCTCTTCTGGAGGGCTGGGGCCAGGAAGCTAGAAAGGCTTCCCGGGGATGCAAAACGCACCTGTGTAGCCCTAACACTAAAATCTGAAAACTGACAGCTCTCTTGGGCAGACTTCAGAGGATCCAAAGAGGAACACCAATGGTCTCAATGCAGAAGTGGGTCTAGACCAGTGTGTTCCCCTGGACATGTTCAGAAATCACCAGCAAACGAGAAAGGAGTCCTGAGAGTCATGGCAGTTCCCCCAAGGTGTAGCAGAGGAGCCTGCAGGTGGAGGGGGTGGGACATAGGAATTCCCTGCACTTAGTATTTTAACCAAATGGAGGAACAATCTGGGTCCAGCAAAAGCGGAGGTTACCTAATAATTCTTTCCATACAGCTCCCTTGCCTGGCTATGCTGATCTCTCACAGTGCCAACCATGGCATTACCAAGTAAATACAGGCAGAACCGTGGAAAAAACTGTGTTATGTACATAGGAAGGACAGCTGCAGCCCCTCACAGAGGACACTCTACTCCCAAGAAAAATCTTAACAGCAAATTCCTATCTCCCTCAGCCCTGTAAGTACTGGTTGAGCTGGAAGGTTGGGCTTCCTAACTCGGGGCACCCATCATACCCCTGTCACTGAAGAGTTCCAAATAAGTCAGGAAGAAGGACCTATTGCCAGAACTGACATTCAGTGGGAGCTGTCGTGCCTGATCATTCCCAGAGATTCTATTACGAGGGTTAGGTTGAGAGTGATGCTGGGACTCTTCTTTGGGTCCTAAGGCCTGCTATGTTGAAAGCTGGGAGGGGCTACCCAGTAGAGAAAACTGCAAGTTAGTCATGGGTTCATGGGTGCACACACACATGCACAGCACAACACAGGTTGTGCATTTTCCTTGTGCTTGGTTGCCTCCATCTGCTGTCCTCTCCCTGACAGCAGCCTAATATTTTGAACCTACATCGTTTTCTGGGGTTATGAATCCAGACATCAAGCGTTTTTCCAAACAGAATAGCTGCAACAACATGACAAAGATAACACTGTCCCAAGGAGACAAGACAGATGACTAGAAGAGTGGTATGCTCCAATCAGATATCCTTGATTTTTTTTTTTTAAATAACAGGCTGGTGACAGGTATGATGGCTCAAGAGTGACATGGTTCCAATTCTGTTACCCTGAAAGAGGTCCCCTTGCTGACCTCCCAGATACCAAGGCTTCAGCAGATGGGAGGCCAATCTTGCAGCTGTGATCCTGGCTGCTACCTGCCTTCTTGACAGGGCCTCACTATCTCTCCCACACCAACAGACTTCACATTTCCAGGGTTCCTCTCAGATCTGGGCTGGACCTCATCTGGAGGGTCTGAGAAGCCCAATGTGTTGGGGGGCCAACTGCCCAGCAGGGTGTCCAAAAGACCCATTTCTAGACATTGGATTTAGGGGCTGAGTTGAGGGGAATCTCCTTGAGCTCCGTCCGCATGCACAGGTACTCCCCGATGACAGCCATGAGCGCAATGCACACGGCTTGGACCAGCCACCAGGTCAGCGCCGAGGGGAAACGGGAGCTGTAGAACCAGCAGCCCAGGAGGTGAAAGAAATGGACAGTGACAGTGAAATCCAGACACTGCTTCCCTCGCCGGATGAAGTACAGCAAGCCCAGGGCACTGTGGGGAGAGGACAGCAGTGAGTTGTCACTGGGTTGTCCTGGCCTTAGTTAGGTTATTTGGGGAGTGGGGACAATTAGGATGACAGCACAGAGATCAGAAGCAAGCGAGCTAAGTGTGAAGCAAGGGTTACATTATTAATGCCTAGAGGAACCTGGCAGGTAATGCTGAGAGTGAGTCAGGCTGGGTAGAAGAAAAGCAAAAGACCGGGTTGATGACAAATGGCAACTGTCACTCAGGGGAATCCCAGGAATTGGTGAGGACTGTGGTACCCTGAAGCATAAACGTTCCATCTAAAGTGGGAACAAGCGCTACTTACAGCTGGGTAAATCATCATGCTAGAAGTGTGGCTTAGAATCAATCCTCTCATTTTTCAAGAGAAGCCAGAAATCTGGATTTTTTAGTATATCCTTTTAACTAAGTGGGAAAATGTTTTAAATACCATGCATGTACTGACAACTGTGTAAGCCAAACAACATATCTGGAAGCCAAATTGGAGTCAACCCACCAGTTTCCAACCTCCAGTGTAAGATCAAGAGTAGTAATGTGCAAGGTACTGTTCTAAGTACTTCCATGAATTAGCTCATTTAATCCTCATAACTATAAAATGGGTAATATTATTAGCTTAATTTTACTAATGACAAAACTGAGGCTTAGACAGATTAACTTGTCTATAGTCACTAGACTAGTGGGAAAGCTGAGGTTCAATGCCAAGTGAGACTGCCTCCAGAGCCTGAGATCTTAATCACTATGCTAACCTGCCTCTCAAGAGAAAGGCAGTGGTCATGAGTGACATTAGACCTTACCCAGTGAAACCCCTCAGTGTACAGATGAGGAGCCCAAGGCCCAGAGAGGAGGGAAGTAACGTGGCCAGTGTCACAGGGACCAAGAATAGAACCCAGTTCTCCTGACTCCCAATCTACTCCTTTCCTCACCTCATTCCACATCAAGGAAGTGATCTGAGACAGAAGGTATCCCACAGGCAGCATGCACAGAGTGACACAGAACTTTCAAGCTAAGTCCAAACAGCAATGAAAGGAGCCCTGTGATGGAGCCAGTCCCAGAATTGGCCTCTGCCACCCATGTTAGTCCACTCCCCAGGAACGAATGCCAACCTGTCTCATGTCCAAATGTAGGAAGTTAGGTCCAGTGCTAAGACCCCAAAAGCAGGACAGCAAAACTGGTGATACTCACCAGGTGAGGGCGTTGAGGACGAAGGACATCATGGAGAGCCGGCCTGAAGGGGTGGAAAAGCCCAGGATCTGAGGGGGAATCACAAATGGAAACATGCTAGAGAAGTGACTTGGTAGAGCTCCAGGCTCCAGTACCTCACCCTAAAGAACTCTTCCCAGAGCACAGAAGACAATATGCCCCTTAATCTGTATGGCAGCCTATTCCACAAGGTCCTTTCACAAACATCCATCATGGCATCTCATTTGAACCCTCACAGCAGCCAGGAAGGTGTTATTAACTCTCATCTTACAAAGGAGGAATAAAAGCTCAGAGAAATTAAGTAACTTGCCTAAAGTGCTGTAGTCAGTAAACAGCAAGAGCGAGGTCTAGAACAGGGTTCCGCAAGCTACGGCCCCAGGGCCAGGTACCTCTTTTGGTAAATAGTTTTACTGAAACACAGCCACACTTACTAACTTAGTATTGTCTAAGGCTGCTTTTGAGCTACAATGGCAGGGTTGGGTAGTTATGACTTAAAATCTTTACTAGCTCATCCTTTAAAAAGAGGTTTGCGCACCCCTGGTCTAGAATTCAGGTTGTGTGTGCATGAGCTGGCTCAACAAAGCCCCAGATTCCCACATGCCCTTCTCAGGGGGACAGAGGCTCCTCAGAAGGGGCTGCGAGGGACCTGTGGGGTGTAACCTCTACCCCTCTTGATGAAATACTGACGACCAAACACCTGCACAACCCTTTCGGCCCACAAAGGCCTTTGAAATCCGTAATCTCATATTATCCACACAACCACCTCACAAAGCTATTGTTTTTGCTGTAATTCTTACCTTTCTTTGAATAAAACTTACTCAAGGGCTACACAGAGAATAAGCAACAGGAGTAGGGAATCCGTCCCAGATCTCAGGGCTCCAAGAACAGGGCTCATTACGCTACACCACAGCTGCCTCTCAGATGCAAACACCTTTCAGGCCCCCGTTACACTTTATAAAGTACTTCCATATCCCTAGGCCCCTTTGGGCCTCGTAATGTTCTGCTGAGGGTTATTCTGTCTGGTTTCCAGAAGAGGAAACAGGCTCAGAAAAGTGGAACACCTGGCCCAAAGTCCCAGAGCTAGTATGTTTGGGCCGAGATTGAAGACCTAGCTTTTTTGAATAAAAAAAAAAATACAGGCTCTTTGCACTGCAGTCCACGGCCTCTCTGCTACTGGTCTCATCACGTTGTGAACAGAAAAACTGAGGTTCAGAAATATGAGGATACTTGCCCCAGGTGACCCAGTTAGTAAGTGGACCTTAAACGGAGGCCCGACTTCCAAGTCCGGGCAGTTTCCATGACATCTCCTTGAATGCTTTCTCCCGTCCCCCCTCCCCAATTTGGCATCTGAGAATGTTGGGGCTCAGTGAAGTGAAGTCCAGAGTGTCAGCAAGGAGGTGTGTCAGGCTGCCCAGGACGCTGGCCCGTGTGTTCTAACATCCGGCCCCTTAACTTTGTACTGAATCAGCCTCTCTGTTATCAGCCACTCGCCATTCCATTTTACAGGCGGGGCAGCAAAGGCTCAGTACCGGGAGGCCTTGCCCAGGGCCTCAAAGCGGGAAGGTGGCCCAGCCAGGTCGACAGCCCGGTGGTGTCGGACCGCAAAGCTC